TCTATGTGTCTCCATCATCTGGGATGTTGTAGATGTTCCCTAAATGCTTGTTAATAAATGCTGTGGGAGTAAGGACTAAAATAGGGCCCTTTCCTGGAAGAAGCTGACAGCTCAGAGAGCCTGCCAGCCACTTAACGATAAATACGGGTCAGAATGAAGTAATGAAGTTTTAACAACACGCTGCAGTACACACTAAGTAGAAGAGATTCTTGAATGGACTTAAATTTCCTAATCTGGCTTCTTAAAAGAGGAGAGAGAAATAAAAGTGGGAAAGAGAAGAAATCAATGCAAGAGAAAAGAGAAAACAGGTAAAAAAAAAAAATTAAGCCAGATGAGAAAGGGAAATGATGGGAGCTTGAGTTCATTGTATTGAAAGAGAAGTCTGTAAATTCTTGTGACTGATGGGTGGAGGGTAGCTGTGAGATGGGGCACTTCTCCAGGATGAGAACCCACCCGGGCCCCTGACCCACATGGTGGTGATGGGCCTGCAGAGGACGGTGCCCTGTGCTCTTGGCGTCTCACCTTCAGTCCATCGGAAATGCACAGTGGAGCTTCCCGGGGGCTCCACGACGTGTGACACCACAACAGACGGAGCGCAGAAGCGGCCTTGGGGACGTGGCTCACTTGTTTTGAGCCAGACAGGAAGGAAATTTGTAGAACTGTAAAACGATGCCACTCTTCTGGCATTTTGTTTTGGAAAATAGTTATCCTTTCTAAAAGTTTAACATGTAATGGGCTTACTATTATTTTAATAGGAATGAATACGTACATTTTAAAATCCTTCTCTGTTTTTCTTTTTCTTTTTTTAATGGAGGTACTGGGATTGAACCCAGGACCTCTTGCATGCTAAGCATGCGCTCTATCCCTGAGCCATGCTCTATCCCTGAGCCATTACCCTCTCCCTTAGTTTTATTTTTGAATATAGTAAGTATCTGTAGGTGTAACCTGCACACACACACAAAAGCACTCTTTGAGATCCTCAGTGATTTCTGAGTGTCAGAGAGTTCTAAGACCAAAAAGTTGGAGGCCCATGAAGCTAATGAATACAGATGAAGACTAGCACAGCTTGTCAGGCGTGTGGCTGCATAAGGTTAGCCCGGTGGAACTGCCAGTGAGAGGAGAGCAAAAGATTGCAGTCACTAACTGTGGCCGCCTTTGAGAAGGAGGCAGGCCAGTTAGGTATTTATTCCAGGTGGGGCAGATGCATTTAGGGTGAAGGAGCTGGAAAGGTATTCTGGTCCTGCTTCAGGTGGTATTATTTTAAAAGTGTCATTCCAGGCCCTTCCTGCTCCATCCCTCATCCCTCTGCAGTGTCAGCATCTGGCCCAGAGCCTGCTGCACAGTGCGCACTGGACTCTTGGTTAAATGAAGGACTGGATGGCCTGTTTCACGTGTGGGCTCAGTCCCTCAGTGGAACCCTGAGCATCGTGAGATTCTTTGGTGTTGCCAGCCTTGACACGGGCATGCAGAGCAGAAAAGGTGGCATGTTCCTGCTTGTAACAAAACCAGAGATCTGTGGGTTTGATCTTTGACGGGAAAATTGTCATTTCCACGTAATCAGACTGTCTAGATCGTTCTTAGTCTCCGCAGTCTTAGCTGAGGATGGCCCCTAACTTTGTTCATTGTACTTTCATTTTAACGTCCAGCTGCCCCTGAGAGGTTGCGTTTGGCCTCTGTCATCTGTCAACTATCCTGCTGGGACTGGTGGCCAAGCTGGAGCTCGGAGGTTCCAGGGCAGCTCACTTCCTGCTGAGTTAGCCAACAGACATCGCCCAGGTAAGCTCTGCCTGTGCCTCTGTCGTGGGCTTGTTGGCAGTCCTTCAGCAAGCAGGGGCAATTTATTACTGTCCCCCCTGAGTTAAGTTTGACTAATGTTTAAAGTATAAAATCAGTTGGGTCAAGAATCCTACATGAGACATGTTCTTCTGATTTTACTGATATGCATTGATTTTATTGAGTCTTATTGAATGATATTAATGGATTAGAATGATTGGTTCATTTGTGGGACAGGTGCGTAGCATTTCATGGTAGACCGACCTTGACGTTCTGGGTCCTTTTCATAATTCCTGTGTATTTGGTGAAGTTAATCCCAGACGTCAGTTTTAACAGCTAATTCAGGGCCTGGGGGCTGTTTCTTTTTTTTCTGGTTAACGAAGTTCTCTTACTGAGTGAAGTTAGATTTAGTTATGTTCGTTACCAGCTGCAGAGAGTAAAAAATCTTTGGAGGAGCTGACCCACAAGTGATCGCTGAATAACTTTGACTCTTTGGGCCCCTAATGAATGAAGTCGCCTTAAATGGTTTAGGACGTAGCTGTCATACCACACAGGTCGCAAAGGTAATAACAGAATGCGGAGATCCAGGCAGGACACAGGGCTGCCAGGTGTTGTTTGATACATGAGGTTTTTTTTTTTTTTTAATAGATTTTTCCCTCCAAAGAGAAAGCCTATGGTAGTAGATGTGTATTAGATGAGGAAATGCCTTAAATTTCCTTTTCCCTGATTTATACCATCCCCCACCATCAACAAGTTGTGCAGAGACCACTTTTATAAACCATCAGGGCAGCCGCGCGATCAGAACCTGGGTGCACTCTTTGTAGATCTGCTTAGATGAATCTGATGGTTCTTGAAGACAGTTCATCATTCTTCCTCAGACCGTTCTAGTGTTTTCAGTGGGGTCTTGGCTACTGGAGAGGGAAGTAAAGCAGGCTGAGAAGTGATAGAGGAAATCAGGTCTAGAATGTCTCTGCTCCCCCTTCCCTGGGCTTGATTCTGACCTAAGGTCCCTCCTGTCAGTGTTTATCCCTTGTTGTCGTCCCTGCTGTCCTTGGAGGAGGTTCTAGCTTTCTAAGTCCTGCGGTCCTCTGCTCTCTCTGGGAGTGTCTGTTGTTGGGGGCGGCTTTATTTTCTTCTCATCCTGCAATGTGAAGAGTCATCATGTGCTGAGGTCATTCTACTCCTGTGAGTGGTGAGGCTCAGAGACTGCAGAGTCATGTTTCCTTTTTCCCCCTTGCTGAGTGTAGGCAAAAACGGTCTACACCTGAGAAAGTGCTCCATCTGCAGAAATGTCTTTCAGTTTTGCA